TATTCCTCCCAAGTGGCCTGTCCCCTTTTCCACATTCTGTACACTTCCTTCTTCTGCTGGAGCTTTGTCAGGAGTTCCTTGCTCATCCATGCAGGTCTCCTGCCCGTTTTGCTCGACTTCTTCCTCAGAGGAATGCACTGATCCTGAGCCTGGAGGAGGTGATGCTTGAATATTAACCAGCTTTCTTGGACCCCTCTTCCTTCTAGGGCCCTACCCCATGAGATTCCCCTAAGTAGGTCCCTGAAGAGGCCAAAGTCAGCTCTCCTCAAGTCCAGCGTTGCAATCCTACTCATTGCCCTGCTCCCTCCTCGTAGGATCCTGAACTCCACCATCTCATGGTCACTGCAGCCAAGGCTGCAGCCAAGGCTGTAGTCCCTCTAAGTCTTCTTGTTTGGGGAAGAGTCTCTCTCTTGTCTTAGAAAATATTTATAATGTCTTATTCTCTTCCATGAGAGACCGCATGTGGTATAGGCTAGGCTGCAGCCAAGGCTGTAGTCCCTCTAAGTCTTCTTGTTTGGGGAAGAGTCTCTCTCTTGTCTTAGAAAATATTTATAATGTCTTATTCTCTTCCATGAGAGACCGCATGTGGTATAGGCTGTGGGGCTTTACAGTCATCCATGTGCTTTAAAGTTAGTGAGGATTATTCCACTCACTGTGTGGACAAGGCCTGAGGGTAGAGTTATTTTACTTTTTCTGCTAAACTGTCGTCTTCCACAGCATAGTGTCTGAGCATCTCTTTCACATTCATGAACTTTTCCTCCCAAAATTTCTGCAGAGATTTACATATCCTTCCCATGCATGGCTCTGAAGTGCTTAGACTGAAGCAGCTTTTCAAAAGCCATCTGAGTGGCACGGGACCACAAATCACATGCCAAGTGAGTGAGATTTATGATTAGCAGTCACTTTGGTACTTTAGGAAATCTCATGTCCAGGCACTTTACACAGGGGGAGCCAAGCAGACAGCAGAGATCAGAGCCAGGTTGTGAGTACTAGTCTGGTGCCTTTATATAACACCTTTCACCCTGAGTTTTATGGCTGGAGGACTTTTCCTACCATGACTGTTAGCTTTTAATAAAAATGACTAAAGAAAATTATGAAAAGAAGCATTAAAAGTTGTAAATAAGCTTTCACATGTAGATTACCTGAAGTTATTAAAAGGAAAAGAAACTTTACTCTTTTCACAAGCATGCACAAATACACATACTGTTTATGAGAGGCAGTAAGAGACTACTTTGTACCTTTTAGTTTGAATTAAAAAACAACTTTTTTCTTTTTTAATCTTATTTCAGAGATTGCTTAATATTAAAAAGCACTGCATAAAAAAGCTTTATTTTTTAACATTTTTTCCAGAAGATGAAATTCTTCATTTTTCTTAGCTTTGGAAAAAAGCTACTTTTCCAAATCAAAATTTTTAGCCAAGTTGGATCTCTAAGCAGAAATTCAGCACTATATTCTGGTATGGCTTCCTTTCACAGCGATATTCCAGCTTGACTGCCCCACTGTGAACAAAATGGAATTGTATTGACACAATTAATCTTTCATTAGTTAGTGTAGTGTCAAAACATGCTTTTACTAGCTTTCCTAAGAGCTTATTTGCGACTTAGTCATTAATTTAGATGTTTTCTGCCAGGGTTTGGCAACATTCAGCGTGTCGCTTGCTGCATGTGGAAGGCACTGCTTCCCTGCCCTGTGAGACTAGTTATGGGGGGAGCAATGGTCTCTGACATACATATATAGAGCGTTATCTCCCAAGAGTATTGATTTTTCTATGACATTTGCTTATAACAAGAATGCAAATCCTTTTTCTATTGGGGGGACAGTCTAGCTAGTTCTTCTCTGACCAGCAATAAATATAACGCAACTTGGACACTCGTTGCAGTAGTAATAGCAAAAATATTTCCTGGGTCATTGTCCAATTTCTCATCCTTATTACCCAGAACTGCTGTGAGCAATTTGAATCACAAGCGCCGGGCTGGGGACTGTGGTGCTGCTTTGCCAGAGTTAATGTTATGTTTCCATGTGTTTCCTTACATAAATTTCAGTGCTGCCTCTCTTTGTTAGCAAGCAAGAACGACACCCCCTTCTACACAGGCACACAGGACCTGCTCTGTAGTTAGCACAGAGACTGGCATATGCTTCTCTTTATCCTGTTCTCACTGCCATAGATTTGAAGTTGTCCACATGTTGGGAAAAGACATCTAGTGTCAAGGGCTTTGAAATGAATTGTTTGTGTTTAATAGGAGGTTTTCTATGTACCCTGCGATGAAGGAGCTTGTATTTTCTCCACACTGTGTAATCAGTTAATGTTGCAGCTGACTGTATGTTTCAGAACTGGGGTATTTTCTCATGTTTATTTCTTTTGTCCTAGACATCTTCAGTTTCTAAAATCAAGCCAGTTCCAGGATAAGGACAGCGGCAGGTGATATAATGCGGAAACCAGGCCCTCAAAAAGGTAAGCAGTAATGCTTGGTATAGACAAGGCCCCTTAGTTAGCTGTTCTAGACTAAAGAACCAACTGCAGCATATTAGGAGGCCAAGATGTGGGGAGGGAGCAACGGGAGGCATCCTGGTTGTATCCCAGTTTGAAACAGCCCTAAGAAGGGAGTTATTTCTCTGGCAGATTACAAGAGAGTCCTTCATAATGCTACCGCTAATCTCAATAGAAGAAGAATCCTCACCAGTCATCTGTCCCATTCCCATGCCAGAGCAGGCTTCTGATGAGAGCGAGCAAGCGAGCTTGCTTGTGACACACAGCATGCTCCTGGGGACACCCTGGGCTGGGTCACTGGGGTGTTAACTCTGCAACTGCTGGTATTATACCTGGTTCCCCGTTGCTGGGGAAGTCCTTTTTACCTTCTTGTTTACGCACAACATGCTGTTGCTTTTGCTTATGTTTTTAAGGGAGCACTTAGCCAGAAGTGCTCATTCTGATGTCGGAGACAAAGCTGGCTGGTGGGAGCCCTTGCAAGCCTCGTGGTACCCCTACAGCTTTTGGGGCGTGATGTCAGGTGGTGATATTACTCTGTGGACCCCGCTGCATGCACCATCTGCTAGTGCTCCCAGCATGAAGCATCCTGATTCTCTGCTGGCACAAGCCTCCCCCTTCTAATGAGGCATGAAACCAAAGACCAGCCTACCTTGTGGAGATGAAATATATTACAGACGTTTACCTCTTGTGGCCTGAATCTTTCATCTCATTACATGCAGTTGCAGTGGCAGCAGGCGGAGTGCTCAGGACAGCTACAAGCACATTACCTGTGTCCTGTTTGCCTAAACAAAAGGGTAAACTCAAACAGGCTGTCTGCAGCTGAACTGCTTGGACTTTTTGTTCTTTTAAAAATATATATATATTGATTTCCTTTAGTGTTGTGCCATACATGTTGTGCATTTGACTGGAGTGATCTCATCACATTCGCTTCAGAGGAGGGGGAAGGGAGAGCAGTAAAGGATGAAGCATCCTCTGCAGTTCTTTGTTCACATCTGCTACATGCACACAAGGTTTATTGCAGGAGATTTCTATGCTCGATTTCTCTCTCTCTCTCTCTCTCTCTCCTTCCTTTATTTTTTTTTTTAAATGTCCCCTTTGCTTCTCTGGTGGTTCATCTTACAGAAGCATTATCCTCTTTCTAACATGGCTTGTCCTTTAATGAAGTGAAAATAAATGAAGGAGAACAGGGAATGGGGAGAGCATGCTGCGAGGCAGCTGGAGGGCTTGGTAATAAAAGAGGCAGGTTGATTAGTCAGCAGTGCGGCCTCAGACCTGGCTGCCTGGATCTAGCCTCACACACAGCTTGTCATCTTTTTGCCTCATGGAGCAGGGTGCCTCCAGCCAGCATTGCTGTTGTGACCTGTATGTTGTGAATGCTGTGCCATATGTTCCAGAATCAACACCTGTATTGTACACAGATGGGTTCCTGTCCTACTTACCTGCTTTTTTTTTTAATAATGCATTTGACTTTTGCTTTTTTTGTTACCTCATGTAACTTACCTCCAGAAATTCTTGCATTTCTTCAGTGTTTCCCCCTTTGCTGCTTTTGCAGCCTGTGTAATGAGGGTTTTGACATCTGTAAGATTAACAATAAAATTGTAACTTAAGCTGCAGAATATGGTGATAGGTTTACCTAAAGTAAATGTCCATTTGAATGCTGGACACTGTATTGCAGAGCTGTCCTGCAACATTGAAAAGAACATTACACACTTAGGAGTCTTTTTTTGTTTCTGACTTTGATATTTTGTGTCCTTTACTCTTGCTTTCTTAAGGAGATAGTGGAGTACCATCCTTCATGGGAATACGGTTATAGTGAGGGTATCCTTCCTGCTTTTTCTTTCCTTTGTGTCTCTCCGAGGAAGCGTTTTGGCTGGTCTACTTCTAATGATGCCATGGCTATACTCCATATGTATATGGAAAAAACGGGAAAAAAACGTACATGCAGTCCTCTTGTCCATTGCATTGAAAAGGAGGTGTCAGGAAGAACAGATTGCAAAAATAATGATTCAGAAGCCGTTTTAAACAGCTCAAGATTATCCACCCAGCCACTTAGTAGTAGTTTATGAACTGCCTTTTTCAGCTACTTGTCAATAGACCTTTAAACTTTTCTTGCATTTTTTCTTCTTTTGCTTTTGTTCCTTTCACAAGGAGCTACTTTTCATGGTAGCAAGGTACCATGGAGCACTACAAAATTGCTTTTTATAATAACCTTAAAAATGCTGTCTAAAATAAATGAGCCTAGGCTGTAACAGCTGAAACGTATTCTTAGGTATGCATTAGTCAGCTATCAGTGCATGGAATTAGCCCCCTTTGAGCAGCTCGCTCAAGGAAGGCAATTCTAGCTGAGTAATGCAAGCTCTGTTATGGCATACGACTGTGTTATGCTTCCATTTGGCTGAAGGCTGGTAGAGGTGGGGATGGGGAGCTCCTATTTCTTGCTATATCAGTCTTTGGGGAACAGACTTGAGGGTTTGTTTTGTTTTTTGTTTTCTTTTTATTTTTGGCTACTTCCCATCCTCTGAGGCCCAAAGCAGTTGTCACCACAAATAGCTTTGATGAGATGTTCTCTAGAGTCAGTTGGCACCTTCCGCCGCACATCTTGTGGGGTGCTAGTTTGCTTTCTTCCAAGTTGCATAGGACACACGGTGATCAGCCTGTTTCTAATCTGAAAGCCCTAATATTGTATGTGGAATGGGCCTGGCATTTGTGTGGACTTCAGGAGGAAAACTGATTAGCCAGATCACCAGAGAAGGTCTAGATTCTGTGTGTGTATTTGTCTGTGTAAGAATAGCTGAAATAACTGATAAAAGATATGTGATTGAGATTCCCTTTCTAGGTATGCAACATGCATGTGAGTAGTTCTTAGTGACTTCAGGTTTTGTTCCCACTAAGCCTTTTCCAGCTCCTAACACAGTTAAAATGATGTAAAAAACAGCAAACTGATATATTTTCAATATTGCATGCCATTGTGGAATAGTATTGGTTAGTGAGGATTAGGTAGAGACTAAGATGCGCAGGTCTGTTGAGGCTGGGTATCCTGTCTTCTCTTGACCTGTGTGGAAGAAAGAAAAGATTTTTAAAAAAACACTGTAGAATTGGTTGTGGATGTCATCCACGTTACCTTGGTCTGTGACGGGGAGGACAGTGAGGTCATTTCTCTCGTCTGAGGTAGCACACACATGTAAAGCGGGTGACATGAGCAGTTAATGTTACAGAGAGCATTATCTGGCTTCTTTCACTGACTCGGATGCTTTATTTCTTGTCTTAGCCATAGACTGGAAGGATGGTAAAAAGCACAAGTACAGCCGCCCATCAGAGTCTCCTTCTCAATACCAAGGTAAGAAGGCATGTTTCATCTCTCTTCCTTTCTACTCCCTTTTTTTCCCTCCTCAGAGCTTACTGAGTTGCTTAGAACTTAGAAATTTCAGCATGCCAAGTTAGTTTACAGATACAAACTGCTTTCAACAGTCCTCATATGTTTACCTCTGACCACAGTAAAAAATTACTGAGAAGACGTCAGCTTCTCAGTAATACAGCTAAAGCATTTTTAATTTAAGCAAGAGAAAGCGAATCTGTTTCTTACTATCCAATCTTGAGTGCCAATTGGGAGATTCTGCTCATATTTTTACATGTATCCTAGATCTAAAGGACTTCCTTACTCCTATGTGAACTCTTCTTGCACGTTCATGAAAGTGGTTAACACAGCCCTAGTGCTGTAGGGTGGATGTGGTGTGACTGTAGCAGACCACTGAATACTACACGTTCCCTCTTTCCCAGCAGCAGGAAGTTGGCTCCTACCCCAGCAGACAGGAGCCCCTTGTGAGTCAGCCCAGCTGGCAGTCTCTTCAGAGCTAAGGCCAAGCAATGGAGGTAGTAGCACAAGAGTTAATCACTTCCCTCTCCCTTTGGAGATCATGCTTTATCCAGTTCACTGACAGGGCACGTTGTGGTCCTGTGCAGAGCATCTGCAGATTAAGTTTACAGAACTGACAGTTCCTGTTATCTCTCGTGGGGCATATGCAGGCAACTTCCAACTGTATGGCATTTATGTAAGGTTTGTATAATTTAGTAAAAGACTTCAGGGCTCATATTCTGCTTACAAGCATAGATTAAAAAGTTGGGTGTCGAGATTTCCCACCAAGTACGTTGCAGAGCCATAAGAAACTAAAGCACTGCCTGAGTTAAATCATTTCTAACGGAAAAAACATATATGCCTTGGTGAAAGGCACTCTTGTGTTTCTTAGAACCCCTGTGAGAGCTGAAGTGGCTATTGTGCCTTGGAGGCTCAGTTAGCATGGACCTTGAGGTGGGATTCAGGACTGTGGTTCTCAAACAATTTGGACTGTGGCCACCATCAGTCTTTAGCATTCTTTTCTGTGGCTTATCATCTGTCCTTATCTAACTTTGATTGAAGCCCTGCAGATCACAGTTTAGGAAGCACCTTCTCCAAGGGGAGGGAGCTCTTTAGCACCTCACAGAAAGTCCTGGGTCCTCTGTGACCTCATGCTGAGCCCTAGATGCTGTTACAGGGCACTGTCACGGTTCACATATCCTGTGTATAGTGAACCTTCAGGTCTGTGGGGGTTCCACTGCAGTTTCTTCTGTGCTGCACAGGATGCCGTTCCCATGTGTTAGAGGACTGACTTTTGTTCAGTGACAAGGGTGATTTGAAGTGGAGTTCTCTGTGAAATTCAATGGCTTTGCCATTATCATTCGGGATAAGCCTGTGCACCAACCTCAGTAAATCTCAGAACCTACAGACCTAGGACTGGAATGCCATCGACATGCTGTTATATGTGTTACTTGTGTGCTCAGTGAGTGCATGGTATAACAGTAGGGATCGCCTCCCTGTGAGAAACACTAAACAACATGTCACAGCCCATAAAGCTTGGTTACATAGCAATGAGTATGCAACTACAGCAGCTTTCTGGCAAACAGCATTCCATAGTACAGCATGGAAGGATTTTTTTTCTCAAAGTTAAAATTGAATTGGGACACCTCTGAAAGGAAGCAAAGCAGACAGCATGTTGATATCTGAAATCTATTAATTTTGCTTCACACATTGTATTTTTTCTGAACAAGACATTGGAGTAAGCAGTATTATGTTATCAGTTCTAGCCGTCATTGATGGAAAACGTGCAACTAGATTGATAGCTTAACAAAGTGCCCGGAAACTGAAACAAAATAGGAAGTGCAGGAACTGTGCCACTACAGTGAGAGAACTTGGCTCTGTGGAAAGCTGTGCCATGTTGGCAGGGAAGGCCACTGTTGCATTTGGATCTGCGAGCAGAGATGATATACTGATAATTTTTGTACTGAGTTTGATCATACTGTGCTACTTTCATGTGCTGCCTTGATAGTAGTTAGCAGACACACATATGGGATGCAGACTCTAATGGGATGCCTTGGTCTGGGTAGGGCACGTTCTCCTTCACAGATGTGACCTGAAATGCACATGCATCATTTCAGTTGGATTGATGACCCCTTTTGGAAGTTGAATTGAGTTTTGGGAGTTGAAATGCTAATGGAACCCAAACCAGGCTTCAGTTGAAGACAGAAACTCCATCTTCGTTTAAATTCTGGGCAGAAAATAAACATTAAAGGCAACATTATGAGAATACAAACACAAGGGTGCAGAGTTGTATTGTTCACAACTACTGTAGTTTGACTCCTTGGGTATATGGAGTATTTTGTCTATAGTAAATATTTTTGAAGGCTAAGAGATGAGAGCCCCATTCTGACACACTGTCTGCAAGTAGCATCTTCAGTAGGATTAAGCACACAGTAAGGTACTTTCCCAAGGCAAGCAAAAGTGACAAAGTCACCTTTAATAGGCATTTTCACAGCTGAGTTAAGGGAAGTCATATCAGTTTATAATCCTTGGCTTTTGTTTAGATCACAGTTGTAATTACAGCAATGTGGTGTTTCTTGATAAATGTCTTCTCTCATTTCTTACTGTTAAATAAGAACTGATGTACGTGAAACTGAGGAACAAGATCCAGTCACATGAGCGATCATTCCGATTTGTGAGGGTGTGATGTACTCTGCAAGAGGAGCTGGAAGAGCAAAAGAGAAGTCAGAGACCAGGGAAAATAAAGGATGGATTTAGGACTGACAGGATATTTTGTATACTGTACTGGAAGCCAACAACAGCTGGAGGCCAAGACTTCCCTTTTGCTTTCCATAGTAAAGAGACATTTTAGCACTGGCTGAAGTGCTAGTTTTGCATGAAGCAGAATTAACTAGGAATTGGATTAAAGCCACCAGCCTTTTTTGACAGGCACTTGAAAAACATTTTCCAGTGGCAATTTACCTGGGCCAAATATGAAGCAAGCATCTCAGAGACAAAAATATCCTGTCCCACCACATTAAGACGTGTGATTTATTAATGTGAATAAGAATACTGAGAGAATATAAAATACAAGATAGTTAGCCCTTGCTAACTAGAAGACCAAACAAGATATTCCTGATATTTCCCTTTGGCCTTATAATCTCTGTATGCAGCGTGCCTGTAAAATGGCGTCAGCAGGCACCCAGCAGCTTTGGCATTCAATATCCCGGCCTCTTATTAGATAGCACATCTGGTATGCTAGGCTTTAGAACAGATACGTTTGGAAATGAACAGTGTTTGGAATTGAGTTTGGATCGATACAGCAAGCAGGATTTGGGTAAAGTCCAGAGGACCTAAGGTTAAGACGCCGAGCCTGATATATCTGTCTTAAACAGTACCCACTGTTTTTCAAGTACAGAGCTCTGGACTTGTTCTCTACTCCCTTAGTTAAGAGTCTTAAGTAACTCCTGCTTTTTTTTCCTATTTTGTTGGCTGCTTTCCCTTTGTTGTAAAAAGCCCAACTTTTGTGTTATGCCATTTTCTACTTGTTCTTTTTTTGCCTTAGTTTTGCACATTTTTTTAGGTTGAAGTTGATCATATTTCATTATGTTTAAAAGTACTTCGAAATTCCTAGATAAAAAAAACATTGTGTTATGAGCTAAATATCATTACTGTTTTCATTTGAAACCGTTCCCTACAGTTTGTACTGGGCTCCCTCTCATGTTAAGGCAAAGGTGAGAGCCTTAAAGTTCAGGTTGCATTTCCTGTCCTATTTTGTGAGTAATTCTGAAAAAGAAGCACAGATTTTAATTATGCTTGTCAATGCGTATTTATATAAAGAAATTACCAATGGAGAAGGAAGGAAGACTTACTCTGCTGTATTATTTTTATTTGTTGTTAGAATTTAGGGAAGCCTTTCTGCTGCTCCTGCTTTTCTTTGCAAAACAAGTCATCAAAAATGTGAGTCATAAGTAGTCGCAGTTTTAGTGTTGTGTGCGTCTTCGTATAATAGTTTGATCCCAACAGACTTTAGAATTAATTTCAAATAAGTTCCGTGTCCAAATGCTATTTTTAGAGGCACACAGCTGTCTCAGAAATTTGCTGCTCCCGCTGGAATTTTATAGCATTGATCACTACTGCAATGTGAACTGCTATAGAAAAGCAGAATGGCTTCAGTTAGTTCAAGTAAGTGAAAAGTGGAAGGATTAAAACCATAACTAGCTTTAGTATTGAGGGATTGAAACCAGCGGAAGGGAGAGTGAGTTTTTTAAAAATAAAATTGTCAAAAGCAGCTGATCCTTTTTAAGAAATTTGTTCAGGCCTGCACTCCTCACCCTGGAAATTGTCACCGCAGGCATCCTCTTTGCTCCAGAGAAAAGTGCCTCTGAAGGGCCATGGACCTCCTAAGTGTGATTCCAGTCTTGGATGAGGCCAGATCTGGAATCAAAGCTAATGGGTGGGATGTATCCAGGTATTTTCATGTCAAGAGTACCAGGCATTGTATAGAATCCTGTGTTCAATCTGGGTTATGCTTTGGTTTTATATTTATTACAGAACTTTCATACAAAGAGTTCCGTTGATACATGTGAGTGTAAAATCGTACATTCAGTTAACCCAAAAGAATTTTTTTGTGAGATTATCATTACAGTGAAATACTTAATTTCTTCAGTGTAAGATTGCAGGCCGAAAAGAAAGTATGTGGGAGCTGATGGAAACGTACTCTGAAGAAAGGAGAGCTGCTGTCAGAGTCTGTAAACAGAAATATATTAAGCCAGTATGGCAGTGAAACTAGTTTATTTTTTCTGTTCTTTTCCACTGTATTTAAAATGTGCTAGCGATCTGCATGGGAGGTGGCAGGAAAGCAGTGCTTGTTATTTATTTGGAGCTCTTAGATTATGAAGCCCTTAAGGGTTCTCTGTACACGTGAGACAGAACAAAAATAATGTGTGTTGATCTTAATGTCTGATTTTTTTTTAGAGATGTGGTGGGCACTGCAGTAGCTAAAATGGCTCTTAACATAGCTTTTGTTTTGAAAATAAACTGATTAAAAGCTTGACATGAAAAAGGGAAGCGGTAACTGACTCTTTAATTGTGCTGCCTCCAATGCTCTTGAAATGACTTGAAAACAATGGTCTCTTGGGAGCTATTGAGATGAATTCAAGCTAATGTCATGCTGGAAGGATCCCTTCCCAGCTGCTCAGTCTAAATGGCAAAAGTCATGATTTGCTTGGATCGCGGGAGCTTTTAATTCCTCATTTAATTGCAAGTTCCCCTTGATGGCATATTGCTTTTACTGTTCCTGGATATACATGGAAGAGTGGTGCAGTCAGTGATAAAATATACTTCCCCCAACAGCAGTACTCAACTGAAGGGGCTTTGGTGGTGAATACGACCTGCTCTGCTCAGTGAATTGCTGCCTAGAGGATCCCTGCCTTCAGTCCTGCTAAGCTGTGGACTTTGTGTCTGTTTCAGGAAATTAATTACTGGTCTGTCCGCTCATCAGCTACTGGAGACTGGGTGATACCTGCCCACATCTGCTGGTTTCTTAAGACAGGATGTGTGCATGTTGGACAGGGGGTATCAGTGTTAAGGTGTGAACCATAAAGTCGTCAGAATGTAAAGTTTTCTGTTGATTTAGGCTGCCTTTAGCTCTTATCCCTCTGTGATTTTTCATAATCCCCAGACTGCGCATGTGTTTAGTCTATGATTTTTAAGGGGCAGTTGTCTAGAAGACTCCACGGATTCCAGTCTTTGCTAGATATTCTATATTAAGATATAGGCTGTGATCCTCACTTTTTGCAGACGTACATGAGCAGCATAGAGGCAGTGACATGCTGTAGGCAACATCATGCTTTGTTCTGCCTGTCAGCCGCAGTTGTAAATCTTTTGTAGTCACAAACATCAGAGGATCTTGATGAAAGCATGTTGCCTGTGAACACCTTCTCTGTGAGAAGTGGAGAACTGCTGGCCTTCAGAGTCCTGTCATCCCTTTTCTGAGCTTTTTTGCTCATAAGTTCCTATTTGAATCCTTTTTTCTCTTCTCAGGTCACTTCACCTGGGAGAAATACCTGAAGGAGACATGTGCCATCCCAGCTCCTGCTCATTGCTTCAAGCAGGTAAGTGGGTGAATGGAGACAAGAAAGGCCAGGGAGAATGGTCTGTTTGTGACCCAAACAGTTCTGTGCCTTAGGATAGGCCCTCTTTATTGACAAGGAAATGCTTAAGGATATTAGAGACCTAACAGCAATCTAAGTGTGTTGGAGCACAGATAAAACAGATATGTTTCGACACTGCAGATGTTACAGAACAGCACAGAAGATTTAACTCTCAGATGTGCACGGATGGGAATGTTGGAACACTTTTTTTCTCTGCTAAGCAAAGGCCCTTGGAATTCTGAGTAGTCTATGATAAAATTTCTTCTGGATCCTGTCCAAAAATGGAGATTTTCTACAGAATTCCTTAGATCTTTGTGAGTAGAATAGTGACCTCTTGGGCATCAGGTATTTGACTGTGTAGGTTACTATGTCGAAAGGGGATCCTGGATTGAGTTGGCATGTCATGTGTAGGTCAGAATGGAGGGCAGCAGCACAGGGTAATATCTTTTTGGGTCTTGGAGCTTTATGCTAGGTGGATGATTTTCTTCTGGGCATCTTTTCAGGAGAAAGATAGGTCTAGTTATCTAGATGATGATGTGCCAAAAGATGGTAGTCTGAGTGGCACACCTTCCAGGGCTCACTGAACTTTTTTGCTGCAGTATGGTGCCTGCTTGCATGCTATGCTTGGAGGATGCTGTCAGTCTTTAGCAGAACCGATTTTGATGCATCTAGGGTTAAGCTCTATAACTGAGATGGTGCACATATTAGAAATCCTGGCTCTTACTGGGTCCCTGTTCTGTTCTTTGCAGTCATACACTCCACCTACCAATGAATTCAAGATCAGTATGAAACTGGAAGCCCAGGACCCCAGGAATACCACCTCCACTTGTATTGCTACCGTGGTGGGTCTGACAGGTGCACGCCTCCGCCTGCGTCTCGATGGCAGTGATAACAAGAATGACTTCTGGCGGCTGGTGGACTCGGCTGAAATCCAACCCATAGGAAACTGTGAGAAGAATGGAGGGATGCTGCAGCCTCCCCTGGGTGAGCAGAAGCTGTTCTGTCCAGCCAGTGTCAAGCACCCATGTCATCTGTGGGGATGTGATCAGCTTTTATTTCTGTACTTGGGACAGACACGTGGACTGCCCACGCCTACTACTGTGAGGTAGAACAGTCCTATTAGCTTGGGCTGTTAGTCAGATGTATCCCATACTGGGTCTGTATTTCCCTGTTCAGTTCATGGTATGGGAAGGGAGATGTTTTGGAGCGCAGATGAAAGCTCTTTACACTCAGATTAGTTGCTTGCACTCTTTGCAGCTCAAGCACCGGCTTAACATATGCTGACTATGCTGTCATTCCTTATGAAATTATCCCTCTATATTTTAAAGGAAAACCACATTTTCCAGCCTTTCATACGAAAAAATCCCAGAGCCACTCAGTTTCCAAGATTACAAAGAAGAAAAGGAAGGGCAGCCAGCAGTCCTAGTGACCCATGGGTATGGGCAGTACAATTGAAGGCAGAGTGACCATGATGGCTTTTTCACAGAATCACAGAATGGTTG